AAAAAAAAAAAAAAAAAAAAAAAAAAAAAAAAAAAAAAAAAAAAACTGCACCCAGTATCACTAAGTAGAGCAACCTATCGTCAATTCAGGCAAAAATCGGTTTTTGCTGTTGACTGATATGTTTGTAAAAACAGCAATACCAAACCAAGCTTTTACTGGCTATATCTATTGACTAAAAACAAAACAAAACAAAACGATAAAAACAAAACGAACGCGAGACATGTCGATCGTTCCCTGATGCTTACGAAACTGATTGAATGAATAAATCGTAGGCTAGCTTCTGCGGGTCATAAACTTCAATAATTACTAGGACCGTTACTTGAATATTCAAGGCAGATCATATAGCAAGACTTACGCGTTGAGTCAGAATACTAATTAAGTGTTTTCTTTAGGAGAATCGTGCAGTTGCTTCAAAAACTTTAGCACACTAATCTCCTTAAACAAAGACAGTCGTCTGTTCGCGTTCCAGAAAGGATTAGACTGCGGTCCTTTTGAGGTCTTTTTCACGAACCGTACCTTACAACATTAAAATTTAAATGTGTGTAGTCGCCGCTGCACGTAGCTGAATTCGTAGATAAAGATTGCTAGATCAGCCGGATCAAAGGTAAAGAAATAGTGAAAAGTTTTAAACTGACTGGTGAGGTTTTGTTTATTTTCATCCGTCCTACAGACAAAAGTGTTGCGCTCTAAATAGAACTTTGCAAGGATTGACAAATAACAATAAGAATACTCTACACTGGAGCCTGAGGTGCTGACACGGTTCGTCCTTAGAGCCTGAGTTGTAAACAAAGCTGCTTCGTTTGGTTCTTTTTTTAACACAGAAGCCTGCCACGGAGCCCAAAGCTGTTTTCTTTTCAACGGAAATATCCATCCATGAGGCACAAGGCGACCTTTCTCACGCGTTGGTGGTAAGCTGTTAGGTTCCTGCTATGATTTATTAAATTTAACTGACCGATTGTGCTTTTTATCGAATCAGTATTAAAATAGATAATAATAATAATAATATAATAATAATAATAATAACACTTATAGAGCGCTTATTCACATGCGTTCTAAGCGCTTTACATCCATTGTATTACAGTATGACTTAGAAATATAAAAGCAAAGATTAAGTTATGTAATTTAGACTGTCTGTGTAGCCACAGACAACGGGTCAGTGTGGCTAGCGGTGCACCCAACGTCGCTCTCAGTGGGCCTCTCTTAACTAGTCTACCCTCATTTATAGCCTTTTCAAGTGGTCTCAGGCTAGTTTTGGGGCGTGTCGATCGGTGCTTTTAAAAACAAGATCCTGAAATTGTGAATTATCTGAACTACTTATATTCTGTTTCACGACTGAGCGATGATTACAATATCGGCAATATCTACCCTCGATCTGATGTTCTAAGTATAAGCAAAATGATTGCGGCCGTCTAGAAGGTGCGCCAGGTAGTCGAGAAAATAGACTTCGACTTGGTAAACAGAGTTCCCGTTTACCGTGACTGAAAATAACTTTAATTTACTGCAGCCTTCGCTTTCGTTTCAGTCATGGTTACAGATATCAAACGTTTCCTTTTCCCTTCAGGCGGAAGCATTCTGTAGAACCCGGCGACGATTTTCAACAGAGACAGTAAGTATCACTTGAAAAGCTCAACACAAACCACTGCTTAGTATCATGCAGCAATCTTGCGTCTGGTAGAGTCCCTGATCCCTTTTAGCTTACTGATACTTCCTGAAAATGGCATCATCCAACAAACAGTTGTGATTTATTGGAGTCAGGATGCACAGCAGAACAGCGACTCCTTCTCCCTCATCCTAGCCTGCAGAACTAGAATAAATTGTTGCGTTTTACAGGCGAACGGAGCGTAACAAGCGCTAGTTGCGTGAGTTACGCGCGAGGGAAAAAGCACGAAAAAAGAAACAATAGTCTGTGAACAGGCTTTAGTTCTTTTCTTTTTTGCGCACCCACCCCTCGCGCGCGACTCGCACTTCGCACTTCGCGCTCTCCTTGCGCTTGCCTCCGTTCGAATGAAAAACGCAGGCTACCCTCATCCAAATCAAAAGTCTCGTTCCCAAGTCCCAACGTTTTAGAGCGAAGAACAGAAAAGACACTGAAAAGGTTGTTACCGGAACGCGTAATGGTCCATGGCAGGAGTCCGTTACTTAATGAGCTCCTGTAATAATAATATTATTTCTATTGACTTTCATACTTTTCTTTTGCGCATGCTAGGAAAAAAATTCGACCACCAATGCGGTCGCCGTTTCAGTCTAATTGGAATATCTTTACGAGATCTTATCATCTTTGTATTTTGCACTTAGACCCACTAATTCTAGTGAAAGGCAAAAAGACGGTGAGAAACACGTCGATTTGGGTAACAGAAATCTGACAGGAAAAGGTTTGATTAAAAATTCTTACACTTTCTGCGAAAATTGTGCGTAAATGTGCATACATTTCATCTTTTCCTCATCCGGCTAACATGTTCAAAACGGTTGAGATTTCAAGTTGAGGTAATATGCTTCTGGTAAGTAATGTTTTGCAAGAAGATCATGATTTTGATTTAATAACGGTAAGTCAGTAGGCTGAAATACTTTTTCCGGGCTTATAAGCAGAATTCGTCTTCTATCTCGATCACTGCAATCCTCTCGACCCACCAGCGACAGGTAAACCACTCCGTGGCTTTATCTAAAAAGTAGTTTTCTGTCGAAGCTGTACGGTGCACCGAAAAAAATAAAAATTAAAAAAATAAATAAATAAACAACAATGAATAATTCCGATAGCGATAATGGGATTAGGTAAACCGGACTCGGCCGAGCTAACATTAAACACAATGTGGAACTGAGTTATATGCTTTCTTCTCTCCCAGAAAACGAGTTGCAGGCCGAGATGATAAACTTTCACATAACAGAAAACAGAGCAGTGCACGAAACAGAAAATTACCACGAGGTGGAGCACTTAGTGTTAAGGAGAGGAAAGGTGTTTGATATAACAGTCAAATTTAACAGAGACTACAATCCGGACTCTGACGTTATCACGCTCCACTTTGTCTCTGTAGCTGGTAAATAGGCAATAATGCAGTGATTTATTACGTTGATTCTGCGCTCGTTTTAAGACTTATTTAATTCACAACATCAACGAGATAGTTTAAACACAAGCCGCACAATAAGCAAAAACACTGCAGATATATTTATCCATGCGTTTTCTCAACCGACACCTAAGTTTCCCATAAGGGAATTGGGAGGCAAGAAGAAAGAGAAAAAATTCTCCAATTCGTTGCAGCTTCTCATTTTGTTTGTTATGCCCATCTTTCGTTGTTGTGCTGTTTGGCCATAATATCGAACCTTCAAAGAGTAAAGGTACGAGCTTTGTTACAATTTTTGTACCAGAAGGATGTAACCAGGCCAGACTGTGTTATACGCTTCCGTCTACTTTCGACCTCTGGGAGACAACAACAAAAATTTGAGCTAGGTCACAAATGTCCTGCAAACATTTCAACTAGACTCCTCTCAAGTGAACCTTAGGTTGTTATATTGATTTTCGGAAAGTTTTAAAGTTCATCATTTCTTTTTCCCTTTAGTTTTGCCTAACACCCTTCCCAGCGTTTGCCATGGAATGCACTTTTATTCTAGAGAGACCCAAACCAAGGTCAATTTTTAAATCTAGTTATAGCTCTCACATCCTTTCAAAGACCTTTATTTCAGCTTCACGCATAACCAACTTGATTTTTGCAGATGAAGATATTCGCCAAAGCAGAAAAACCACTGTGCGCGTCGAGATTCAGGATGTCCTTCTGCTCTCGCAATGGGGAATGCAACTCAAAGAAGCCAACAAAAAATCAATTCACTTGTCAGTCATAGCGTCGGCGCAGGCGCTCCCCGGTGACTATGAGGTCATCGTAGGAACAGAGTCCCTGGACTCTTCTGGAGAAACAGCTATGTATCGATGTAAAAACAGAGAACGGATTTATTTAGTTTAAGACTTAGCTGAGGGACTTAGCCGTCTGACGGAAGACGTTCAATTAATACAGTAAGACTTCGCAAACTCCATATCTGAGCTAATTTCATAGAGAAAAGGTTGTGGTTGCAGTAATAAATTGTTCTTTACAATACAATACTCTTTATTTCAAGAGGGTAAATACATGATTAACCCAGTAAAGAGTTTTCTAACACATGGCCCTCTGTAAACCCACCCATCCCACCCCAAGGGAGGACATCCATCACACAGTAATCTCGTGTGTGGGAAATTAACGTCTCCTACCCCAACCCTGCAGGAGATGGGACCTCCATTTATTCGTCCCTATCCGAAAAGACTAGAATATCTAACCATTTCTTGATGTTATTGAAAGGCAGCAAATTCTTCTCAATTATTTTAAGACCCCGAGTGTTGGTCCGGCCGGGACTCCAACCCTCGACCTCCCTCACAACAGTCCAGCGCTCTATCCATTGAGCTAACCGGGAGACGGTTAGTTTCGCTTAGTGACGCTTTTTTCGCGATGTAGACACTTTTGATATAGATTCTGACGTTCCGATTGGCGTACAAAATAAAATTGTTTACTTTTTCCTTTTATTTATGAAATTATTGTACTATTTGACAACATCGCGATGCTTTCTTAATCGAAGAATTATTCAGCCAAGTACACGGAAAAATTTGAATTTCTTGCGAAGGAAATTACTCCGTCCCCATCATATTATGGCAACTTCTGGAATGAGTTCAGTTTTTTTCTTGTTTCTTCCTCTCTCATCGACAAACAAGAGGTAGTTTTACACGAGCCCGAGTCGATTCCGGTACCTTTTAAGAGGTACCTAACAATTATAATTGTTCATCCCTCTAATTTGAACAACTTTAAGTACTTTAACAGTTCTGGCTTTCCCTGTATGGGAACCCTCACATTCTGTCAACGCAAGTCCTTTAGAAATGGCAACACATATATTTGTTTTAAAATTCGAGTTCGTTAATTTACCGCAGATGTTGCAGCTTCCTGCGTTCTCTTTAATCTTAACCATAAACTAGTATCGCACATCATTTATTAATTTCATCTTGGGTTGACATCTCAAATGCATAAATTTTAGTTGAGGTACTTCTTAATTTTCCTCCTTTTCTCATCGGTAATTCTGCCGCAAATCCCTCCCGAATATCATTTCTAGCGTCAGTCCTTGTGCGGGATGGCTCTCCCGGAATGTGTGGCAAATGAGGCCTCACATCTGGCTGAACAAGAAGGGAATTATAGCTCGGATCAAACCGTAAAGAATTCGGCTGCAGATCGTTATTTTGTAAGGCAGACTCGAGCGGAAATGAAGGCGTGGATGCATGGCAAGGTTGGACACGTATTTGTGGCCCTGGGCCTGGGGAAAGGTTCTTTACAGTCCCGGTTGGCAGTTGCGCATAGGACATTGGGATTGTTCGAGTGTAAACAAAGTTTGACCCAGTAGGATGACTGAAGTTGTCATGGTTACCAGTTGCTTGATAGTTGCAGTCATAAGGAGTCATCGTGTTGTGCTTTTGCTGAAATATGTTTCCTGAGTTGCCATGGTGACTTAGGCTTGTTTGATGGTGTTGGGGTTGGTTTTTGTGCGACGAATTCCAAAACGAGGGCGGCAGATTCCTCAGCGACATGGGAATAGATGTTCTTCCTGAAGGAAAAAATTAAAACTCAGTCATTGAGATAGGGCGACAACAAACTTGAAAATTGAGTCCCAGATGAACGCATTTGAATGACACAAAGTGCTTATTTTCCAATTTTAATCAGCACATCATCGAAAGAAATAGGAAGTGCATGGGCTCTATCAGGATAGGCTAGGCGAGTTGTAACTGGCTTCAAACGTTCTAATTTTTTCGCCCGCACCCTGGAGATAGTCCCCTCGGTTTAATCACGTGACTGACGAGGAAAAGAGCGGGCCTCAAGATGAGAATTAATCATTTCTCTTGACGACGCCAGCGCAATCTTTACCATGTGGATTGTAACGTCCCAAATGTCACGTTACTCTAATCCTAAGAATTAAAATAACCTCTTATAATTTCCCTTGCGAACAAGAAACTTATGGGACCTGACCTTTAGGAAGGAACTTAGGTATTATGGGGCGCCTTTTATAAATTTATCATTTATTTCGCTTTTGGTCGTTTTTTACGCGATATGTTTTTTTATTTATGATAATTTCATTTTATCCATTGGTTATTTAACAAAATCAATCTTGCGTTACTTGGTTATTTGATAAAACCGATCTTGCGTTATTTGGTTATTTGATATAACCAATCTTGCGTTACGTGGTTATTTGATATAACTAATCTTGTGTTACTTGATATAACCAATATTGCGTTATTTGATATAACCAATCGTGTGTTATTTGATATAACCAATCTTGTGTTATTTGATATAACCAATCTTGCGTTACGTGGTTATTTGAAATAACTAATCTTGCGTTATTTTGTTATTTGATATAATTAATCTTGCGTTACGTGGTTATTTGATATAACCAATCTTGCGTTACGTGGTTGTTTGATATAACCAATTTTATGATTTCTAAAGTAATTAAATAGAGGGCAAAATTACTGAATGCTGATTATTCAATGAAGAGGGTATTTTTTTCTTAATTTTGCTTGAGAAGAGGGCAAAATTACTAGCTCATGATTGGTACTCAGGTTGCCTAACAACAGCTTACACTATCGAAAAGTTGTTGCTGAAGATTTTCTGCAACAATGGCGTCTCGTTTCGAGATAGTTGACGAGAAATACATCGAAGAATTAAAAGACATGAGTGAAAACGAAAACACCAGGAAAAGCACGGAGTACTGGAAGAACATTTTTAAAAAGTGGGCGAATGAAAGAAACTTCCAAGCAAATTTAGAAGAGCACGAGAGCGATGTCAGTCGACCGAACACTGGCGCAGTTTTATGCCGAGTTACGAAAAGAAAACGGGGATGAATATGAGCCCGACTGCCTGAAAGTACTGAATGCAGGCATCACTGGAGAGATATCTAAAATCAAAAGCTTATTCAAAGTCCTGGTATCTTTGTGCAAAAATAAAATTTCATTCAATTCAGCTCATACGTGTTTGTGGCCATTTGATTCTCTGTCAACTTTAATGGCTTCCTATGACTGATTACTGAAGAGCGCATTCAGAAATTCAGCAATTTTCCCCTCAATTTCATTAACAAGTAATCGCAATGGGTCCTCGTAAAATTAAGGATTAATATCACTTGTGTTTTCAGAAGTTGCTCTCGTCACTTCGCGACTCGGGCAATTTCAGCAACTTCTGAAAACACAAGTGCTATTAATCCTTAATTTTACACGGTCCCGTGCGATTACCCATACAAACACCAAAAGGTTTAAATGAGGCTTTCAGTCGGAATTCGTTGAGTCGATATTTCGCTCACAGCCGATTGGGTTTGAGTCACGAGATTGCCATTTTAAAGCAAATGATTTATAGAGTCGTATAAAGAAACATGATTTCATACTC